TATTTAGTTTCAGTGTATAGCTGAGTCAGGCACAATATTAACTGTTTAATTAATAATTAATGTTTCTGTTTGTTGGTTTGTGTCGCTACTGAATATATATGCAACAAGACTGGGAACCTTTTGACTCATATGAATTCTTGTATTGTGTATGATTATTCTGCTGTTTCTTCAGAGAAGGAGTACTGTAAGGAATTACTGTATTTTAACACATTTGATACCCATAATGTTTTAATTCTTTCCATTTTTCCCAGAATCTTGAGCAGTGGACACTGAGGCAGTCCTGGTTAGAACTCCAGCTAATGATCAAACAGTGCTTGAAGGACCCTGTGAGTTTGTATTGAAAGCTTATCTCTGTATGAAATTTTATAAAAAGCAAAACACGTTGATGTTTGAGGATAAAGGAATACACATATGTGCCAGTATTCTTATATCTAACTCTAGGGCTCTGGTTCTGTGGCCGAAATGAACAACTTACTGGACAATATTGCAAAGGCAACAATAGAGGTATTCCAGCAGTCTGCGGACCTAAATAATTCTTCTAATTCTGGCATGAGCCTCTTCAACCCAAACAGTATTGGAAGTGCTGATACAAGTGGCACAAGACAGAATGGAATAAAGACATTCCTAAGGTATTTTTGTGTGTTGTTTTATCGATCTATCATGAATTTCTCACAAGTAACGGTAAATTTTGTGTAGCACAGTGATTTTTCTTTAAGTCCCGGGAATGTGAAGAACATAGTTACTTGTAAGTAGCGATTATCATTATTTTAATAAGTTAATGAGTAAAGCTGGGGTGGATGATAGCTTAGCGTTTGGAATATTTGATGGAGTAGGCCCTGAAACACCTTGAAACTGCAGGTGAACTCAGGTTTGGTTCATGCTTTCAGTGTCCCTTGGTCTACTGTGTTATGTGGTATTCATTATATGGGAAACACTTTTTCCACCATTTTTAGTGATTTATCATTTTGCAAAAATATATCCTGATAATTTTTGTGCAGAATTAGAACCACTAGGCATATGAAATCTTAAAGTAATTATTTAATCGTGAAAGGCAGATTGATTTGTATTTCATCATTTTGGCATAAAGTATAACTAGCGAATTTTAAACCTTAAAAATTAGCTATTAGTATGCTTACATATAGTATTTCATATTGTAACTGTGACAGAAAAATGTATTGTTTGTTGGACAAAGTGATTGTTTTTAATCAGAGAGAGGGGGTCATAGGAAAACATTAAAATCAGTTTAGTTACAATATCCTTCCAGAACTGCATGTTTTATTGCTTTCTGTAAGCTTAGGTGGAAAGCTCATGCAAATGCCTAGTGTTCGGAAAAAGGAAAGATAATACAGAAATAAAAGGGAAATTTTGAAACAGTCTGTGTGTCTCATACATCGAAGTTTTGCTTTGGAGTTTCTGTTATAACTGTGAGAGCGGGGAAAAGGATGCTTTCTCTGGTGTAACACCTGTTTCTGATTTTAGTTCCTCCGAACGCAGGGGCGTATGGTTGGTGGCCCCCCTCATTGCCAGGCTGCCAACTTCTGTGCAAGGAAGAGTGCTGAAAGCTGCTGGGGAAGAGCTGGAGAAGGGACAGCACTTGGGTTCTTCTTCCAAAAAGGAAAGGGACAGACAGAAACAGAAAAGGTGTGACTGGAAGATGTGCGTCTGTGTGAGAGTTTAAAGAATAATTGAGAAAGTCTCACTTTCTGTAAACCCGTGTGGTCATTGTACCCACGGTCCACTGAAATTTAGTTTTTAAATGGAACTGGAAATATTCTGTGAGGCAAGGCTGTCTTCTTAAAAAGTTTCAGGTTATAATCCTTAATACATTAGTTCTCAATTCTGTCTTTATATCCAAATCACTGCTGAACTGTTAAAAACAGTGATTTCTGAGACCCACTTTAGACCAAATGAATCAGATCTGGATAGCTACCTGATCCCTGTATTTTATTTTTAATTATTTCTAATTTTTTTTTATTATTTAGGTATTAATGTATAATTCTGGCATGTTGGTGTCTGAACTAGTTGCTCATATTTTTAACATTTAGGACTCCTGTTCTAGACTAGACATTAAAACTCCTAGGCTACCACTACTAATGTTTTCTTAATTTATTTTATACCCAAGAAAAGGTTTCAAGTAATTATATTTGAAAACTGTGTTACTGAGAAAGAACAAAACCTCACCCTAATGTGAAAATGCCATGAAACCTAGGAGTAAAGGAAAAAAATTGACAATTTCTTCCATTAAAAACAATATTTTAAGCATATAGGTTTCCTGTCCACTAATGAATAATACTATAGTAGCCACCATTTATTGACCGCTTACAAAATGGCAACTCCTATCTAAAACTCATTATGTTTATGAGCTTTTAAAATTATCATAGCAATCATGTGGTAGGTACTCTCATTCTCTTCTTTATATCATGTTGAAACTGAGGCACTTAAAGGTTACATGAGTTGCTCCAGGACACACAGTGAAGGACATAAAGCCTGGGTTTAAATCCAGGAGGTCTGGCTTCTGAGCCTGTGCTCTTAACTACAGTACATTTTGGTAGAGACCCAGCATTGTATGTATTGTATTTGTTTTTCATCTGGTTGTTTTACCATCTTGGCCAGCATTAGTTAACCAACAAGAAGGCATAATTTTAATTTTCAAATCATATTTGCTAATAGTTGAGTGTATGTGCATTGCCTCACTTCCCACAGGCAGGACAGATGGCATTGAAGAGACTTGAAAGATTGCTCTTCCCACGTCAGGGGCTCTTCATTCTGCCCATGTAGGATGATGCTGATTGAAATATTTTGGCCTAGGTCTCATTTTAAGAAATTTTTCTTTCCAACATGGCGCTTTGTTTGTCAATATGATTTGTTGATTGTTTTCTCATTGAGGACATTTTGTTAAAATGCCAGTTTAAAACAATTTTTAACCAAATGCCTTGACACCCCTCTACCAGTGGAGGCTGCGGGCTGTGTTGGAGCCTGTGGGCTGTGTTGGAGCTGCACACTAGAGGTCGCTAGCAAATACTCTGTTTTTGGAATCATCAGTCCTGGCTGCTAAATTAGCTCTACTAATATGCTGCTTTTTGGTCTTGGGAAATGTGCTGAAAAACAAACCCCAAAACAAGCTCAACAGACATATAGGCCTCTTTTCCCAGATTCTAAAATTAGAGTTTTATGTGAGAACTTAAAAAATTTTTAATTTTATCCTGTGTATAAATTGATATTCTTTCTGATGTATGTTTTAAAATCCTGCGTATTGATGTAGAACATGAATTCACTGTCTTCTACCCTCACTGCCTGGCATGCGCATGTACAGTATGGATTGATGGTAGTTTGAGAATGGCTTCGAGGGCAATTAGAGCATACCAAATGATTTAGAAGCATTACAGTGGCTTTTAATCTTATAAGTAGAGGTATGATTTAAATTTTCAAGCAGCCTTTGGTTATTTACCACTTCCCTTATTTATCTAATAGTGAGGCAAAGAAATGAATGTTGCCAGAGGAAGTAATGCATTATTTCTAACTAGATCTGCTGTTATTACTTCCTTTGTAGTATGTCTCTTTTGAGTCAACAACCCTTCCTCTCACTGGTACTTACCTGCCTTAAGGGACAAGATGAACAAAGGGAAGGCCTCCTAACATCTCTCCAGAATCAAGTTAACCAGGTAAAGTATAGTATAATATTAAGCCAGGCAAATATCTTTCTAATGGCATTCATTTATTTGCCTTTCAAATACTGAAATTAAATTAAAAAGGGCTGAGTGAGGTGGCTCATGCCTGTGTAATCCCAGCACTTTGGGAGGCCGAGGCTGGTGGGCCACTTGAGGCCAGTAGTTTGAGACCAACCTGGCCAACATGGTGAAACCCCGTCTCTACTAAAAATACAAAAATTAGCCGGGCATGGTGGCGTGCACCTATCATCCCAGCTACTCGGGAGGCCGAGTCAGGAGAATTGCTTGAACCTGGCAGGTAGAGGCTGCAGTGAGCTGAGATCGCGCCATTGCACTCCAGCCTGGGAAACAATAGTGGAACTCCGTCTCCAAAAAAAAAAAAAACAGAAACAAACAAAAAAACTATTAAGGGTACAAAATGTTTTGAGAAGATGCTGGGAAACAATCCATGCCCTGTTCTTCTACCTGGCATTCTAGACACCACAAGATTAACAACTTTATATTAATGGTATGTACAATAAATATGTACAGCCTATAAAAGTAAAATTTTACATATTGCATATAACTTCGAAGTATCTGCCCCTCTCCTAACTTTGCCTCATAGGAGAGGACCTGGAGGAATCTATGCTGCAGTAAACATGGCAGTGAGTCCAGCTCCTCAAGCTTGGATGCCACATTATCAGGCACAGTTTCAGCTTGAAATCTGTAGGTTCAGAAACTCAGTTTTATTGATGCCAACCAAATACACAAGAAATAAATCAGAAGGCGTATTGGTTTATTTAGAAATAATTTGGACATTGCCTTTTCACCAAACACAGTTCTCCTGGTCACTGTTTGGGGCTCTTGCATGTATGTACTATAAGGAGACTGAGCATTCACAGTAGAAATTGGAGAGCATGGAATTAATAAAGTGGATAGATTGGTCTTATGAGGTGTTTTATCCTGATGTAGAGCCTAATCGACCCCTTCTTGTGGCGCTGTGTTTCTGTGACACCATGTCTTTCCCTCGAATGGTACTAGATGGACATGGACAAGGACACTAAATCTTTTTTGATCCTGTTGTCATTTCTCGCCTTTTGGATATGAAAGATCTAGATATAGCAGTCATAGTGAACCTTTTTAAATGTAAGTCACATATTACCTCAGTATACCTAATATAAAAATTCTAGCTGATAAGGGCAGGCATGATTTGACACTGGCTCTCTCGTCTACCTTGTCTCCTAGCAGTCATGGCCCTCTTTCCTCCACTGTTGTTGCACTGGCTGGCCATGTTACTGTTCCTTGAACTTGCTGAGCAAATTCTCATTTCAGTGCCTGTGCATCTTTTCTTACCTTTTGGTGGAAAGATTCCCTTCCAGATATTAGCGTGGCCTGCTCCCTTCCTTCATTCAGGTCTCTGTTCAGATGTTAACTCCTTCGGGAGGCCTTGATCACCCTCTAAAAGTAGAAGCATAGCTATTCTCTATGCCATTGCATGCCTCAAATCACTTGTTACACTTAGTTTATTGGTCCCACTACTATTATTTGAACTCCATGAGAGCTTGTTTAGTTAACTGCCTTGTCCCCTTAAGCCAGCCTTGAGGAGAGGTTCATTTCTTTTGATGAGATTTAGGAAGTGCTTTCATCTCACCATGCAGGGTACTTACAGGTCATCTGTTGGGATGGAGTACTTCTGCATGTGATTCATTTGAACTCTTTTAAGATGACTGTCATTAGCAACCATATTTCAGAGCATGGTAGGGTTTTTGTTGGTGGTTTTTTGTTTTTGTTTTGAATTTTTTTTTTTTTTTTTTTTTTTTTTTGCTCATGTCATCTGATTCTAGGGTGTTACCCACTTGTGGCTCCCTTTCCTAAGCAAATTTTTCCTTTTCCAGCATTAGTATGAGTCAGTGAGGAAGTGAAGAAGCAGCCCACTTTATAAACTGATAAGCCACTTGGCTAATGTCTACAATGCCATATTTTTCAAAGCACTGTGCATTCACTTTATCAAGGAAGACACATACATAAGATAGCAGACCTTCTCTTCTATAAAACATCAAAATAATACATTTGCTAGGATTCACAGCAAGTCCCTAGAAATATAACACAGGACTGAGGCAAAATGTAATTCTGTCTCTCCAGTGTTTTTGTTCATAAGACCAATGAGGTAATGTATTTTAAAATTTTTATTAATGCTAAATGTGATAGCCCTCTCAAGCATTTTCCCAGACTTAATCATAGGTTATATAATTATATAAGATTTTCTTCTTCCACCTAGATGGGCAAATGCAAAATAACTAGCCAGATTTCTGTCTGCATAGAGGAAGAAGAAAGCTAAACTTTTATTTAGCTTTGTTTCTTAATTTGTTAAAGATAAGAAGTTGCTTTTTGCTATCAGTATAAAGCTCAATTTATCTTTAATTGAGAGAAAAATTAAACTTTAATGGAGAGAAAAAGATGTCTTTTTCCTGATCTTAGATTTTAAGTAACTGGAGAGAAGAACGATACCAAGATGACATAAAAGCGCGGCAGATGATGCACGAAGCATTGCAACTCCGCCTAAATTTGGTAAGAGACATTTCTAGTATTTTCCCTTCATTAAACATATCTACATGTGAAAATAACTCCAGCTTTCCACTTCTCCTAAGTGCAGAGTCTGCATTACAAGGTGAGGCCTTCCACTCTTTGCTCTCTGTAACTACTTCCCTGTTTCTAAAGCCTTCTGTTTCCCTTGCTGCTTTCCTTCCTGTCTGGTCATACTTCCAGACAGTGCTAGGTATTTTAAGCTTTGATTTGCCTTCTTTACCTCTACCCTAGTGAATCTTTCCTTCTCTTCAGTTTGTGCTAAGCGTAGGTCTGAGAAGACTATTATAAGTGTTAGCTTCTACTATACTTATTTAAAACCATTTAAAAAGTCTTTTAACTCAAAGTTTTGTCCACCTTTCCATCAAACTGATTATAAAGACAAATCCCACAGAGAAGTTTTAAAGAAATTTAAAATTTCTCACATATTGTGCACTTCTTTGAGTTTTCTTTTCCCATCAGGCAGGTCCAAGTGCAGACCTCTATGGGGATGGCCTGCTTGATACTTTTGCAGTTGTTTCTAACCTCGTCCCAACATGTGAACTGGTAGGCGTGCGGGCCAAGCCTCCTGCCCATCACTGCTGTGCTAGTGGATGTTTCCATATGGTATTATGATAGCAGGCTTAGATTCAATAGTAATTGTACAGCAAACACAAAGTTGCAGATAATTGAATTACATGACTTTGGCATTATTCAGGTTTAATTCAACTATAATTGCATCATAAAAATGGACATCATAAAAGATTTGGAACAAAAGAAAACTAAGTTTATTGGTGTCCACATTCAGATACTCACTTCCCTTCTTCATTTTATTTAATTTTGAATGAACTGTGCTGAAAGAACTAAAAATGGTGATAAACATGTAGGTGAGAGAAAAGATAAGATAATCTATAAACTAGAGCATCCCTTGTTTTTTTAAAGAAAAAACAATGAAAATTTGACCACATAAAGCAATGGGATGTTGTTTTCTATTTTACAGAATGCAAATATTTTACTGTATTTTATCTGCTAGGTAGGAGGAATGTTTGACACGGTGCAGAGGAGCACCCAGTGGACTACAGACTGGGCCCTCCTACTCCTTCAGATCATTACGTCAGGAACTGTTGACATGCACACTAACAAGTATGTTTTTGTCATTTCACATTTATCTTGCTACATGTATGCATGGTATAAGCTTTGATATACTGATGACGATTTCTGCCACATCTTATTTACTTGGATACTATTAAAAATTTTGTGCCTTGAATAAAAATACTCAGTTAAATAAGTGTATTTCAGTTTCACTTTAAGATGAAAACAATTATTTTCTTTCTTTCTTAGTGAATTATTCACAACAGTTCTTGACATGCTGGGTGTTTTAATCAATGGAACATTAGCCTCTGACCTATCAAATGCATCCCCAGGGGGATCTGAAGAGAATAAGCGTGCATACATGAATTTAGTAAAGAAACTGAAAGTAAGTTTGAGATCAGCCTGTATTAAGAGCTCAAGTTGTTCATGGATTTATTATCTAGTGCATTTTAATTTACTACTCCTTAAATTAAATGTTATTAATTGTATTCAACTTAATTTAATGTGATTATTTGCTATTTGTTTCACCTAACCTTATCAGTACCCAGAAGTTACAAGCACATAACCTTGATTATTTTTTATTAAAATTATATTATAAAACATGTTTAATTTTTAAAAGAACTTTAGAAATCCACTGTTAAATGTATAACCAGAATACTAACATTAGATAGATTTAGGATAACTCTATGCTTGGACTGGCACGTGTAATTGAAAACCATCTGCATTGATATTTATAAATCGATTCATTTGACCACTAACAGAATCTTTTAAAAAAATTGTAAGAAAACAGTGCAAAAAGAAAACAAATAAATCTGATGCGTTGCCAATCAAATAAATCAATGGTTACCTTGTAATCTGACCCTGGACATGAGAAAGTGTTCTGTTCTGCAGCTCCTGCATTCTGATTGTGATTGCTACCCTGGATTTTTGTCATTTCAGCACTACGATGTTTGTTGTGTAACAACAGTGCCTTTGTGTATGTGTTCTATTTTCTACTTAAATAGAAGAAATGAAACACTCACTACTCTATTTGGAACTGCCTTGTAGACCATGTTCAGGGTTAAAGAACATGCGCTAAGCTATAAAAAGGGAAATGTTTCATAGGGAAACTTCTTTCTGGTTAACTTTTGCCTTCATTGTAATTTCTGTCCCGCTTCTCACTCACTCACTCTCTCTCTCTCTCTTTTTTCTTCAGAAAGAGCTAGGAGACAAGCGATCAGAAAGTATTGACAAAGTTCGACAGTTACTACCTTTGCCGAAACAGACATGTGATGTCATCACTTGTGAACCTATGGGTTCCTTGATTGACACAAAAGGAAACAAAATTGCTGGATTTGACTCTATAGATAAAAAACAGGCAAGAGTAAATGTTTTTTCTCATATATACATTTATTTACAAAAAATCAAATACTTTTTCTTGTCTTACCATAGGATATATAAAATATCTCAATTTTGCTGTTGATGTTTTTAAGGCATATGCTTGTCTTCTAAGTGTACTTAGTCATTGGCATTATCATATAAAGAAGTCATATCTTTGAAGATCTTCATTTTATATGTTTAAAGGACTTAAAATGTTTCCCTGAATTTAAGTAAATTTCTGAAACATGCCAAGAGAAACTAAGTAAAAGCTTAGTGTAAAAAAAAAAAAAATAGCAAAAATAAGTTCTGATTTTACTTCAGATTGAGAAGCAGAATACATTTATCAATACAAAATTTCTTGTAAGCTGAGCATGGTGGCGCATGTCTTTAGTTCCAGCTATTTGGGAGACTGAGGCAAGAGGATTGCTTGAAGCCAGGAGTTTAAGGCTGCAATGTGCTAGGCTCATGCCTCTGAATAGCCACTACACCCTAGTCTGGGAAACAAAGTGAGACCCTGTCTCTGGGGGGGGAAAAAAAAAAAAAAGAAAAGAAAACCTTCATGTAGTAAGCTATTTCGAATAAAAATTGTTTGAGAAAAGTGGTCAGTTATTTTTTTAATGAACATTAAGCAACCACAGACATTCCACAATCACCAAGATGAAAGAGTTCCTACCGTGAAGGGGGAAGTAGACAGACAATTACAGTGTGATGAGATTTGTGTGTCATGGTACAGAGACAGTATTAGGGGATAGAATAGGGTCCCCAGGAAAATTGACATGAGTCATTTTGAAGGATTAAGAGTTAGCTGGGAGGTAGGGAAAATTGTGGTACAAATAAAGGGAGAGTTTATAAGAAGACATGAAAGAATCAGATTTACCAGGGAATTTAGAGTAGTCTGAGAATCTGGTACCAGTTTGTGTAAAGAAAAAAAGCTAAAGTCATGGTCAAGTTTGAGTTTGCAGTGTCAGCGGACTTCCTGGTAGTAAGCCATCTGGAATCCATTTGGATATGTGGTTTTTACACCAAGGAAAAAGTTCTCATCTCAAGACAAATATTGGGAAACAGTCAATTTACAGGTGATAATTGAACCTTGGTTTTGTTTTGTTTTACTTATTTGTTATTTATTTATTTTTGAGACGGAATCTCGCTCTGTCTCCCAGGCTGGAGTGTAGTAGTACGATCTTGGCTCACTGCAACCTCTATCTCTATCTCCCAGGTCCAAACAATTCTCCAGTCTCAGCCTACTGAGTAGCTGGGATTACAGACATGCATCACCAGGCGCAGCTAACTTTTGTTTTTTTTGTTTTTTTTGTTTTTTGTTTGAGACAGAGTCTCAGTCTGTTGCCCAGGCTGGAGTGCAGTGACATGATCTCGGCTCACTGCAACCTCTGCCTCCCAGGTTCAAACAGTTCTCTGCCTCAGCCTCCTGAGTAGCTGGGATTACAGGTGCCTGCCACCATGCCTGGCTTATTTTTGTATTTTTAGTGGAGACGGAGTTTCACCATCTTGGCCAAGCTGGTCCTGAACCCCTTACCTCGTGATCCACCTGCCTCAGACTCCCAAATTGCTGGGATTACAGGCGTGAGCCACTGCACCTAGCCTTTTTTTGTGTTCTTAGTAGACACGAGGTTTCACCATGTTGGCCAGGCTGGTTTCGAAGTCATTACCTCAGGTGATCTACCTGCCTCAGCCTCACCAAGTGTTGGGATTACAGACTTGAGCCACTGTGCCTGGCCTGAACTTTGGTTTTAGATGAAGCTACTCATAAAAGAATAAGTATAGATTACAACAGTGACACTCACATCTTAGGGAATGACTAAGTAGTTATTTGGTGGGCCATTTAAGGAAAAGTATTTCTAAATTGGCATTTTAAGGCAAGTACCAAGAGACGTCACCAATTAATGTTAAGAATAAAAACAGGGTAACAGTTTGTTTTTGTTTTTGTTTTTCTGGAGTCAGTAAAGATAAGCTTGAGTTAACAGACTTTACTTATTCCTGCTGCTACAATTTAATTCTCTAATAATATTATTATATTGAGAGAATGGCTTATTAAGTACAGGGCTCCCATATTGAACCAAGTTCATACAGATTTAGATTGAAGTTAATACTAACCCATTTAGAGGTTGACTATAACTTGACTCTTAAATTTCATATTATCTTAAAACTTACAAATATATTACAGAGATTTAGAACTGGTTATAATTTAGTAAGATTAACTTTGCAGTCTTAGAATTTTTAGCAAAAAACTTTTAGAATTTTTTTTAGCAAAAAGAGGAAATACATATTGACAATAAAATATCCTAGACTGCCTGTGTTGCCTAAACAGAGCATCATGTGGTATAAAGAACTGTAGAACCGTGCTTACAAAGGTCTGAATTCTAGCCGCTGCTCTCCAGTGATGTAGCTGTGTAATGCTCTCTGCTGTATTCTCGGGTTCTCTAGGGCTCATGCCAGCCAAAATGTTCTCTGAATCTTTGTTCCATACAAGCCTGGACTATGAATAAGGAAAATATCTGAGTGTGCTGTCATAGAATGCTATTTTCCCACAGGGTCTCCAGGTCTCTACGAAGCAGAAAGTGTCCCCGTGGGACTTGTTTGAGGGTCAGAAGAACCCAGCTCCTCTGTCCTGGGCCTGGTTTGGGACAGTCCGAGTGGACCGAAGAGTAATCAAGTATGAGGAGCAGCATCACCTCCTGCTGTATCACACACACCCCATGCCCAAGCCCCGCAGCTACTACCTCCAGCCACTGCCCCTGCCTCCTGAGGAGGAAGAGGAAGAGCCCACATCTCCAGTTTCTCAGGAACCAGAAAGGAAGTCAGCTGAGCTGTCAGATCAGGGAAAAACCACAACAGATGAAGAAAAGAAAACAAAGGGAAGGAAGCGCAAGACGAAATCTAGCTCAAGAGTTGATGTAAGTAGGGGAAGGAAGGAGAACCCTGGCTCATTAGCCTTTTAGTATGAGATTTACTCGTACTCAAATCATTTCCCTTGAAACATTACCAAGAGCAGGGTAAGTTTTGTTATGACAGTTCTTCTAACAGGTTTCTGCAGTAATTAACTAAATGGCACACAGTGACTTGTCACAGACAACAAGATTAAAGCTTTTGATTTTCCCTCCTCCACTTTTAATACTTTTATTTAATTGTAGGCTTCCATTGTGATATTTAGTTAATATTTCAGTGTCTCCCAATTTCCTCGGGTTTGAAACTTCAATTTTTTGAACTATACAATCCCATTCTCTCACATACTTATGTCTAAAATATTTAATGTATTTTGAGTGGTTGATATCTTCAGTAAATAAACATTGAAAGCTCTATTTGCTTTTTCTTCAATAAAAGTTGTAGTTAACATAGCCAATAGGATGTTCCTGAGATTTTATATTTTACTATTCCATCTTACCCTCCTATATATTTTACTTCTGTACCATGCTTTAGGCTTTATAAAAGATGAAAATAAACCTAATTTAAAATAGTTTTACTTCTTGCTTCTCTATTAGTGTTCCCCACGTATAACAGTGTTTTAATTACAACAGAAATCTGTTTGATGGCAATTTAGAAATAATTTTATAAACCTTGAGAAGTAATGCGTAAAATGTCTTTCTATTTAAATTAAATTAAAACCTGGAAAATACTTGATAGAGGATTCGAGACGTTTTAAATGAAATTCCACGGCGTTCTTGCTGCACAATGGAAGAAATATTCATCATTTAGTTCAGATATTCATGACTGGTTATGTTTACCTGTGTGAGAGCTAAAATACAATCTATTCCTAGCTGATAGCTTGGTGATTAATACTATTCTAGAAATGACCACCACCACTTTAGGATGCCACTTGAGCATCAGTACCCTCTTCTCATTCAGTCTTCCTACCAATATTCCTTTGCCTTGAAGGGATGTTTAAAATGGTCCAGACTGAAACTTCCTCAAATTTGGGGTTTCCAGCCTGTCAGTCCATATGGATGGGCTTTTGTTCTTCTCAGATGCAAAAGCCCTGAAACCCATCCTGCTCCCCAAGTCATTCTGGTCATGTCCCCTCTTCCTCTATTCTTCCTGAAGCTGCCTCTTTTCAATGAGATATACTCTGGTAAAATTGCAGGGAAATGAGATTTTGTTTCTCTTCCATCCTCTAGGGCTAGACTAGAGGAGGGAAGGTTGGGAAATTGAGACCTTCAGGTGTGATCCTTGGAGGCTTTGCAGCTACTATAAAGAAGAGGAAGCATGGGGGATGAGGGGAGTGTCTACTTCTTTAGAATGATGTCTGGAAAATTGCAAGTGAAATACCATCTTGGCCAAGGAGTGGTTCTGAAGCACTGTAGGGCTCTCTGGTATAATTCTGCAGACCCAAGATACCGAAAAGGCGTTCTAAGTTGAAATTATCAGGAGTCTTAGCAACCGAAGGTGCTTTTTCAGTGATGAGTGTCGTTCAGTATTGGTATTCCTGACACACTTGTAGTCTTTTGAAATAGAATTCAGAAGAGATCCTTTTCCATCTCTGCCCAATGCAAGCCAAGCACTTTCTAAGTCAAGGAAAAGTTTACCTCAAATGAATATTTTCCAGGGGATTTATTAACACTCTTCCTTTCATCTTCTCCTTTATAAAAAATAACTTTGTACATTGGGATAGAAGGTACGTCAGATAGCTTACTGAAGTTATTTGCGTTAATTAGCTGTGTGAAATGTGGAGTTAAGTAACTTTTTTAAAAACTTTATATTGAAGGAATATCCACAGAGCAACATATACCGAGTGCCTCCTAATTACTCGCCTATCTCCTCCCAAATGATGCACCATCCACAGTCCACCTTG